TTTTTTTTTTGTTTTGGTGTGTGCAAGATGCACACGAGAAGGAGGAAGAAGAGACAGGACAATTTAGGTCTTCTCCTTCTTCTCCTCCTCCTCCCTGTTGTCACGCCCCCTGTTCTCGTTGCGCAACGGTGTGGTGACGTTGCGGGGGCGGAGTCGGCGTCGGGCACTGAGAGCCGTTTGGGTGATGGCTCCAGTCCGGGTGTCGTAGATTATCACCCTGTCGATTCGCGACAGGGTGAGGATGAAACGGCGGGCGTTGCCCAGGCCGTTGTTGCCGGCATTGTCGTTGCCGGTGTTGGTGTTGCCGGCGTTGTTGTTGCCGGCGTTGTTGTTGCCGGCGTTGTTGTTGTTGTTGTTGTTGTTGGTGGTGGTGGTGGTGTTGTTGTTTTGAGCAGGCATTTTGGCTACTGCAGGGCAAGTAAGGGGTGGTTAGCTATGGCTTCCTGGTAGGAAGTAGGAAGGGGTTGAGAGGACGGTGAGGTGGAGGAGGCACTAACCCTGCTCCTGGTGGTTTTTATATATATATAAATATAAAGATATGTCCTTTGGTAGGACAGAGGAATGCCGCTGGCAGTGGTGTTTGCAAGAGACGAGGTGAAGAAGGGCTCTTTTGGCGGTGTTTTCAGCGGATTTGCTTGCTTTGGGAGAAGATGTTGAGATGAAAAGAAGAGAAGGAGGATTCCAGTCGAGGAGGGGGTTTATATAGACCATTTCATTGCCACAAATGGCAGAATCACGACGTAAGAATGTGAGGTTTCCATGGTTGAAGCAGTGCTGAAGTAGAAGTCGTGATGTCACTGAATCGAGGAGTACATGGGCGTTGTCGACGGCGAGCTTCAGACTCGGGGTATCAATGCCCATAAAGAGCCCCTGAACGGGCTTGAAAGGTGTCAAAATCACCACAAAATGAAAGGTGCTTCAAAGACAGATTCCGTAGCCGTTTTTTCCAGCCCCAAATGGCCCCTTTTGGCAGAGATCATGCCCATAATGCCATGGACGAGGTGCAGGGCTTCTGACAGCTCAGAGGTATCTTTCCTTCTGTGGCATTCTAAGGGATGACGCACAGAAGAGGGAATCTGTGGTTCACGATGGAATCATCGACTCTGCAAGAGCGGCCATGGGGCGGCGGCGAGGTCTCTCTGCGTCTCTCTGCCTCTGGCTGTCAGGGTCTACGGGCTCGCCCACCTTGAAGCTGCGATTGCCGGCCTGCTCTCCTGCGCCGGCGAGGTGCTGCGAGGCTCTCCTTCACTGCTGGGGCTTCGCCTTGGCCGGCAACTTCCTGCAGCGTTACCACACAACCTCGACAGCTCGCCAGCAGCATCGTCACTGCACCGTCACCGCATCGTCACTGCATCGTCATCGATCTACTCTCTCAGACAGAATCACCCACGGCAGCATGGACGGCGTTAACCTCGTTCAGCGTGTATCGATGTCACTACGAGCTGGCACAGCGCTGGGGCGGCGTGATGCCCAGTCACACACAGAGCAAGAAGAGTATCTTACCTATGCTGTCTTCATGGCTGACTTCATCCCCTTTCTAGCAGTAGCAATATACATCTTGCTAGCTGTAGTCATTGGCTGGAAGTATATTGTCGCGGCGGTGACGAAGGGGCGAGCGTTTTTTGCGAGGTGTCGACAGGGAGGGTGGCCAATAGCAAGAAACAGCAGACACAGAGACGCAGAACAGGGGCTTAACCGACACAACAGATATCTTGGTATAGACGTGGAGGCATACGGGGGATGCTATGAACTGGAGGAGCTTGAACAAGGAGACGATGGGGGCTCTCGGGGGGAGGAGGAGGAGGAGGATGACAACGATAATGAAGGTATATTCCTATTACATTATATACAGAGTGGGCAAGCGCCTCAGCAGCAAGAAAGGGACCAGGCGGAACCGGTACACAAACCACCACTTGACGATAGTCGCCACTCCCTAGACAACATAATTACCACGACTCCAAATGGCATTTCTAAATACTTCCATCCTACCTCTGGGAGACTGAGAGATGATATCGTGCATCCTACTCAAACAAGGCTGGATAGGATGCTTGGTGACGACGAGGATGAAGGGCATGGAAGCATTGCTTGGTATAAAGCGCTCCAAAGATTTTCAGACAAGTTCATTCTGAAAGCCCAGGCATGGCTTGATAAAGACGAAGCAAATATTGACAGAGTCGAACATAGGGAGACGTCAAAGGTGTGTGGGGAGAGCAACCGCGTAGTCCGGCAGATCCTACGCGAACGGCGGGAAGAGGGGGGATATAAAGATGCAGAGGACAATCTGCACTGATTTTGGCCCCGACAGGCCGGAATTCAAGCGAAGTTATACATTTGTTCTCGACTTCTTGCGATATCAAAACCTCCCGATTCTTGCGATGTCGTTTGGGCAGTTTTTTTGAGGTTTCGCTTTTATACCCAAGCGAGATTTAGCCGCATGACTAAGCGCGAAAATGGCCCGGTTTGAAGTCGTTAGTTTGGCGTATTTGATTGGTCGGCGGTCATTAAGCGCTGACGTCCATTACTTCACATCATTTTCTCATCTACTCTCCAGCACCAGGTCAGACTGCACAAAGTGACCTCATCCATGTCTATATCGAGTTCATAGGCTTAATACTATTGACTAGCTGTAGCTACGGGTCTAGTCATTGCTTCCACGGTGCTGCTTGCTTTCCGTCCAAGTAAAAAAAGGAAGTGCAACATGTTTATCACGCCTTCCGCCAGCATAGAAGCTCCCATGGAGCTTCTGTATATACCCAATAGATGGATGTCTATTTCTCCTGCATAGGATCTGCCACTCTCACTATCTAGCAATCATCATGGTCCTCGGGTCATGAACACTTTTCTTCCCACTTCCTGAAATACCCTATAATGCTCTGCTGCGGCCTATCAGGTGCCATTCTTCCCAGCCTCACAACAACCTAAGAAAGAGTGGAAACAATGATGTTTCTCACTCAACTCGTATCAGCGCTGTTTTTCTTCTTGCTCAGCCCTATCTCCTATGGAAAACCAGTCGGGACTTTCGTCCTCCCTCTAGCTCAGGATGCTCCTATTCCGCCCTCCGAAGACCCCTTTTACCAGCCTCCCCCAGGATATGAAGAAACCGAACCGGGAACAATTCTAAGACATCGCAGACCTCCTTTTCCTATTTCGTTATTCCGGTCTGCTCCGATCGACCTAGCTGCAACCTATCAAGTCCTTTATCGTTCATCCGATACTTTCGGACATCCAACAGCCACCGTTTCAACCATCCTTATTCCTCACAATGCAAACATGTCAAAAGTCCTATCCTACCAAGTTGTTGAAGATGCAGCATTCATCAACTGTGCCCCTTCGTATGCTCTTCAGCTCCATTCAGACCCAGGCGGCCTCTTTGGAACGATCATCATACAATCTGAGCTACTCCTCATAACTGCGGCCCTTGAGAACGGGTGGGTTGTCACTATACCGGACTATGAAGGACCCGCAGCTGCCTTCTTAGCTTATTGGCGTGCAGGTTACGCAACACTAGATGGCATTAGAGCTACTCTGGCTTCTTCTGGGTTTACAGGCGTGGACCCAGATGCAGCGGTAGGCTTGTGGGGTACATCTGGAGGGAGCGTTGCGAGCGCTTTTGCTGCAGATTTGCACCCCACATACGCGCCAGAGCTGAATATTGTTGGAGCAGCGCTAGGCGGCGTTGTTCCAAGCATTACTACGGCTTTGCATAGTCTCAACAAAGGGTTTGACGCCGGGATAATCGTCTCTGGTGTTATTGGGCTTTCAAAAGAATACACCTATATGCAACCCATCCTAGAGTCCTACCTTGTGCCTCATCTACGGGACAAATTCATGAGTGCTGGTAAAAAATGCTCGGGAGCAGTCTCTTTGGATTTTAGAATGGAAGATATATTCAGGTACTTTAAGGGAGGGGAGGAGTCTGGTTTATTTGCTGATCCCAGAGTGAAGGCGATTTTAGATCATAACGCCATGCCGCAAGGAGTACCAAGTATTCCTGTTCTCATTCTCAAATCGATAAATGATGAGATCAGTCCAATATCTGATACTGATGCCCTGGTGGAGAAGTATTGCTCCGACGGGGTAACTATCGACTATAAGCGGGACCTGCTATCTGTACATACCATCCTAGCTGTCACTGGCGCTCCCGAGGCAGTACTCTGGCTCAGGGACCGTCTTGATGGAATAACCGTTGAGAAAGGATGCAAGACCTCCACCATCTTTATGACACTGCTCCAACCGGGAGCCCTGGAAGTCATGTCCAAGACTATCATCGATAACTTGTTGAATCTCTTGGGGAAGCCCGTTGGACCAAGGCTGAGAACTGAAATTGCACATGTTCCTCCTCTTTAAGTGTTGAGACGTTTCGTTTTCATTGGCCCGCCGCCTATACCATCCTGCTGATTGTCTGCTTGCTATACGGCTTTACACCTACAGCCATTTCCTCTAGACTCGTTAGTCCTACAGTAATGTCAGAGTAGAGATATGTTTTAGTTTGCCCAATCGGGTTGTGGTAGAAATCTTAGTTTTGTCCTTGACTTTTAGGTATTCCCGGCCAAACATAGGGGTTTCTTCGCCGTACTGTTTGCTACAGCAGCGTATACATTAAAATGAGATGAATATCTAAACAATTATACATTCCTACAGATCAATTTTTGACTACTGTCGATTGCTTTACGTTTGTTTGTGCCCAAAATAAAGCCAAACAGTATTTTGAATAATACAGGACTATAGGTCAGATCGTCTTATACTACAACAAGTTCATAAATAGCAACGTACTGCTAGTATTAACCTTCTCTGCAGCTTACTTGACCTGCATAAGAGTTCGGACTTGATCATTCATTTTGCCCTAAGCTTTCCATCATGATCGACTCACCTGAATACCAGTTTGTGCTTTTGACCTTAGCCTTGGTGGCACTAATTCTCTTCATCTTTGTGTTCTGTCTGTCGATATATTACGGAGTCAAATCCATTATGACTCCTAGTGGCAAAACCAGGAACAGGAGAGAGCGTGGTAAGTTTGAAGCCGTCATACCAGCAGCATAGCTTCTGATATCCGTACAGGCTCCATGATACCGCTCAGTAATTATACCTCATCAGGATCAACACCTATCCAAAGACCACCCAACATTGGGAGTGAACGTCCCAAAGTTACACCAACGGAAACTAGGGTTAGTGGTTGTGGTGATAATATGTGCATTATATCCCCCGGATAAGAAAGAATAGGGTGCGAGTGGCGAACCTCGCAGATCTTCGGTGAACGACACCTTATCACTGGATCATCCATTACCAGCTCCACCACCCTGTGCTGTTCGAATCCCGGGACTTGTTCGACCGTCAACTCCTGCAATACCGGTTAGAGTGCCGGAAAGAGGTGGAAGGGTATCGCCTATCGATTTCACTACCACGAACCGGATGACTCGGTGGGGGTGACCATAGAGGATTTTGGGGGAGTATTTTTGATAGAGATATTCTCAGAGGGCAGATTTGCAATGAACATGAAGTTCAGTAAGCTGGCCATGGTCTATCAAGTATAGAGCATAGAGTTCTCTAAAAATAGTATTAGATTCATGTTAGCTGGGATGTGAGTAGACTCGTTAGAAAGGGATATTGGCTTCATAGAGTGGGCATTCGTGAAGCATTATAAAGTCGAACGCAGGGTATCCGCTGCGGAAACAACCTGGAAACCATAAATAACCTACGGAAGTAACACGATACTGATCAGATATCGCATCCATAAAGAAGAGGGAGACTTATCCCGTAGAACGGTTCTGCTTCCTTCATAATTGGCTGCAGTAGTTGCACCCTATATTTGGAATCATCAACCCAGTCGAGTGTGAACAACGATAGTGTATCTAAGGGTATAATCGACAAATTGGAAACTCTAAGGAGTTATGCTTTTGTTGATTTCTGATATCTTTTGCCTTGGGGAAGTTACGATATTAGGCTGGCTCCGACTGTATTGAGTAGGGTATAATCACACAAGGTAGAGATCGAAGTTAACAATAAGAGGTAGGGCAATACTGAATCACTCGGTCCTTCGCCACTTCGTTTCATCCCCAGACGTTCCGTTCTCGTTGTTTGAGGCACCAGCCTCATTCATTCCTTCATCGTCATCTTCACGCGGCCTTACAGTACCTGCTCCTGCACCCAAGGGGGCTTCCTCTCCACCCTTCCAGTTTCCATCTTCATCAAAATACTCGTGGGCGTTCTCTGCGGTAATCCAGCCACCGCTTCCAGGTAGGGCTGGAGGTAGGCCACCTGTGTTGTTTCCAGGGAAAATCAGACCATTTTGGAACAACGCACTACCTTGGAGCTGTTGATGGAATTCCTCACCTTCATCCGCATCTTCGTATCTATCTTCGTCGTCCTGGTCGACAGGGTCAGGGTGGAGATTGGAACAGGCAGATACTGCCTCAAAGAGAGCCTCAATTTGGGACTGGGTCTTTTTATCTTCTTCTTCAGCTGACGTTTCCTGGTCGGTAGGTTGGGTAGCGGGGCCCGACAGAGGAATGATGGTGAGCGAAATGCTATCTTCGTCTACATCCTCATCCATATTCTCATCTCCTCCACTTGTGATGGCCAATTGCATGTAAAGGCCCTGCACAGTATCATTATCGGAGGAACTCGGCAGGGGAAGCCGTTGGATCGCATGTAGAGATATTATCGGATACGGAATTGCGACACCGCTGGACGTCTCCGTGGAAAATAACAATAGCTTTCTGCTAGATGTCAGTATAATATCTCACGCACGAGGGAGCGAGAAACATACTCAGAAGTGACCCAGACACTGACACCCGGGAGAGATAGCTCTTTGGTATCCTTTGCTGCCTCATCGACTGTTGTACCTGCAGTAACACCGCGTTCTCCCTGTGCTGTGCCATTCGATGAGCCCTCTGACGTCGTCCACCGCAGACTATTCAGAGCAGGGGAAGCTAATAAGTCATGCTCCAGAATAACCACTTTGCATCTCTCACTGAAGTGGTGTAAAATAGGTGGTCCGGAGTAGAACGAGGCAGGAGTTCGCGACTGATGCTCCGCGAGAGGTACGAACGAGGAGGTATTTGGGGCTTCATGAAAGACTTCCATTATGGTAACTAGTTGAAGCTTCGGTATCAGCAGCTAGCTTGCTTCAATGTCCAACTCAGACAGTGCCTTTCGTTTGTTTTGGAGGGTAATGGAGGCGTATGAGGCGGCGTTGAGGGGAGCTTGGTGGAGCGAAAGTGAAAATGATAAGATCAAACTTTGTTTCAACGTCATCCCTTGGCTACAGTAAAATGCAGGCCCAATAGCACCTACTAGTTATGGTACCTAGATACGGAGGACTGGAGGAAGAAGAGATGATTCAGGGCATTGGCTGCACATAACTGAAGTGATTGGAAAGGATTTCAACAGGATACGCATGCGATAGCCATCGTTTCCACAACTTTACTAGCAAATCTGAGAACAGCCAAGGTATGTAAGTTAACTACAGGTACGGAGTAAACGATCCCTAGTTTCCCTCATCGACAAGAACAATTGCGGGCGACCAAACCTTCCCCTTGCCATAGTTCTCTGCATCTTCATTTCCATATGCTACCACCGCGGGCTGGATAATAGCTAATATCGCCTTACCATCAAATTTGTCATCATCCTCATCGAGGTGGTGGAGACGGTGAGCAGTACTCAATGGGTTCTTGTGATAAAAAAGCTTCATTTTCCGTAGAGTGGTGCGGCGGCAGTCAATGTTGGTTCTCTGACACCATAATGATGTGGATAGCTTTGCAGCGGTGTAAAAAATGTGGCACAGATCTTGAAGCAGGCAATTGCGTTGCTGTTCTGGAGCTTCATTTGCCTTTAAAAGTGGACGTATGGGTCCCGCAAGGAAATTTTTAGCCATTTTTGTACTGAATTTTTCGAATACTTGTGCCGACAGCAATGGCACCCCAGATGGGCTATCAGGAGCCGTTGACAAAAGACGCAACATCTGGGAGCGCCATATATGTGCATCAGATGGAAGAACTATAACAAGGTTAGTTTTCCCTTGCATCTCAAAAATGTGGTAGGCATGTTGTTGCTGACCATTTATCATAGTTTTATACAGCCCAAACATGGCATTACCACGGACAGCCTTCGAGTTTGTATCGAGATGCTGGAGTGCAAAAAATGGGTTGTCGAAGATTTCTTCGAAGATATACTTAGCCAGCATAGAATGGGTGATAAGAACGGGAAATCGTTTCATCAAAGGCGGCGACATTTTATTCAGTAAAGCATCAAAATTGAGTTGGAAGATGTACTTCTCAAGATAGTCCGTTATTTCCACCTTCTCTTCATTCGAAAGGGGCCGCAGAGCATTTATATCCGGAACTGCGTTTTTTTTTGCCCATGCTTTCAGCTTTTCTTCAAGCTTTGAGAATTCATTTCGAACCGCCCCATCATCTTTAGGGACCCACGAGGCTCTCTTAACTGAGAGAAGAGTGCCTTCCTGGGCAACGCGAAGGTTATTCTGTAACTCTTCATAACCACATCGTGTAATACGTAAGTCATGTGTAAGGAATTTTATCTTCTGTTCCAACTGTTTAATATAACCCTTGTGGCCTTCAATCTCATCGGCCAAATGAGTTAATGAATGCTCTGCGGCATAGAGGTTATCACGAAGACCACTAGCGCGCCATTTGTGAAAATTGACTTCGTCACTGAGCTTTGACAGTAATTCCTGACGATAATCAATCTCCTGGTGGGATTCGAGTTGTTGGTTCCTCAGACGAGTTTCTAATACACGCACCCGTGATCTTAGTGACTCTATGGTATGTGTTTCATCAGAATTGGCTTGTTGATGGTCTTCAGGTTTGGATATGGCATCGACAGCCCCTGAATCATTGGGAAGCCCGGACTGTAAACAAGTAAGTAATGGAACCGAGGGTTATCCTGCCAATAGACTCACCGAGCTGGCAGGGCCAGTAGTAGGATCTTCCACTGGATAGTTAGTGCTCAATAATGACACAGCCTCTAACTCAAACTCATCACTGCTCTCATTTTTGAAGTTCTATTTAGAAAACATTAGCAAGCTCGGGTCTCGGTAGATATTGGGACAGTTAACCCAAAAACCAGGCATGTTAACATACATGAGAGGAGCTCACCATGTCAATATCTGCTGGTCCGCTAGCTCCTTCACGCATGGAGGTATTCATCTCGCAGGTATAACTTGTGATTTTATCATCGAAACCTGGGTTGTCGCCGAGTGTAGCCTCGTGGAGAGTAAACGCAGTGATGTAGCTGAAGAATTGCTACCTAGATCACCTGGCAGGCGATTTCCGGTAATGCACACATTTCAGCAGTTAAGCGAGCTTCCTGGAAACACAAAGAAACAATGATTAGGAAGTTTCCCTTTGTTTGTTTGTTTGTTTTTAATTTTGTTTTTCTCCTCTACATCTCAACTCTTCGGCAGAAATCTTGCAGCGTTTATAGGATGTAGCAAGTGATAACAGCCTGCAAAATAATTGCCTTGACGATGGCTCCCAAGTCAGCCAAAGCAAAGTCCTCGAATTCAGGAAAGGCAAAAAAGCTTCAAAGCCATCAAATTCGCCAAGAGCCAAACCTCCTGATACCATCACACAAGATTATAGTCGGTATTGACTATGGAACCACATTTACAGGTGAGAAGCCCGCATATGCTAGTTGGAGAAGCAAGCTGAGAGGTGATAAGGGGCCAGCTACGTAAGTACCACAAGCAGTGATATAAAGGATATCATCGTTGTTAGTACTTGGCCAGGCCCGTCGAGGGATACAGAAACGGTCTTCAAGGCACCTTCGCGTATTGCGTACCCGTTTGAAAATACACGGATCAATACCATTCGCTGGGGGTTTCAAGTTGAGCCTGGAACGGTAGCCTACTCTTGGACGAAGCTGCTCTTGGATCAAAATACAGTCCTTGGGGCGTTCGACGATACGAGTCTTGAAAATGCCTCCAAGACGGGCATTCTGAAACTCCCTCATGGCAAAGCCGTAGTGGATGTTGTCGCAGACTTTCTTACAGAGGTTCGTGACCATGTGTTTAAGATGATTGAAAAGCAGGTCACGAAGGAGATGCTCCGGATAACCCCGATTGAATATTGGTTCACAGTACCAGCAATCTGGTCTGACCAAGCAAAAGCACAAACAAAAGTTGCAGCTCAACGAGCAGGATTTGCCTACAATATAGAACGTCCCAGTGACCAAATGTTCATGATCACGGAATCTGAAGCCGCAGCTATTGCAGCTTTGAAGAAAACAGCCACAGATGGCCTTGGAGCTTCCGTTAAGGTTGGTATCAAGTGTGTATATGTTTTGACGTTGGCTAACTTCCCGCTAGCCTGGCGATGGGGTTTTGGTATGTGACTGTGGCGGCGGTACAGTGGTAAGTGAAACCCTACCGAGGACATGGGGTATTATCTCACAGTCTACGAAAGGATATCACGACCTACTTAATCAACGAAGTTGATCCAGTTCTGTCTTTTGAAGAACTTTGCACGGGAATTGGTGAGTACTGGATGCCATTATAGTAGCGGTGAAATCGGTTGCTCACCCTAACGGTAGGCGGCAAATGTGGGTCGACGGCTATAGACAGAAATTTGTACCAACTTATGTCCCAACGCTTTGGGAAGGCTTTTGATATGCTTCCTGCTAAGAAGAAAGGTCCAGGAAGCGAGTTCATGAGAAAATTCGAAATAATCAAGAAGGACTTCGGTTTTAACATAGAAGAGGACAGAATTCATGAGTTGCCGCTTAATATGATAGCCAGCACAGTGAAGTCCGAATATTTTGACGCCGAAGAACGTCTTGTCTTGCTTTCAAGGTAAGCAGACAATCCAGAGATGAACGGCAGTAGGTGACCTGATTGTCTACTCAGCAACGATATTCGACAGCTGTTTGACCCGGTCGTGAGTCAAATCATTGGGCTGGTTCGTAAACAAATAGATGATGCAGAGGATGCGGATGATGGTGAAATCAATGTATGAAAACACCTTCACTTTCCCCCAGTTTTCTGGTTGTATTCATGCTAATATGGACAAGCGAATAATCCTCGTTGGCGGGTTTGGCGATTCTGAGTATCTCAGAGAGAGTATGAAGAAAGCGTTCTTCGGCATCACAATCACTGTTCCAGATAACCCGTAAGTGTATCACTCCTTCTTAATCAACCCAAAAAAAGCTAACAAGCTTTCAGGCAATCCGCAATAGTCAAGGGAGCGGCACTTCGAGGCCTCTTGGGCCTTCAAGCAACAACAAAGAGATGCCGCCGTCATTATGGGTTTGAATGGAGCATTTCCTTTCGGAGAGGTATCGACCGTGAAAAAGACGCTTACATCGACAAGTTCACTGGGGGCAAAATGGTGCGCGGGATCATGAAATGGATGATTTCCAAGGTAGATCGGCAACAACTGCAAGACGGAAAATTGGCGAATGGCATTGACTGATAAGGCGCAGGGACAAAGGTACACCGAAAACCATACTAACACCGTTAATTACACCAAAACGCATTATTCTGGAAGTTCGGTGATAAAAAAGTTTGTGCTTTTTTCGTGTGATTTGAAGGATGCACCCGAACGGGTTGAGCATACAAGTATGGATACCTTCTTCCGCATGACTTAGGACCCCCAATCGTCTAACCCGTTTTATCCTGTAGGTATCAAAAAGGTCGGCACAATCAGCGTAGATATCGCAGACGTCGACTTCAACCTTTTTCAGAAAAAATTAATTGGCGGAATGCTTTCATACAAAGTTGAACTCTCGGTGAAGGTCATATTCGGAGCTCAGGACGGTGTGTTGAAGTTTGAAACCACGTCACAGGGCAAAGTTGTTGGGAAGACAACCATCGACTTCACAAATACCAAGTACTATTGACATCTGAAGTTGGAATGACAAAGCATGGGTGGTTGCTGAAAACCAAGGCGAAGGTGATGAATAGGATGATAAACCAGAGTTTCCATGAGGCTCCGTTAAGCAGATATCTTAGAGCGAGACTGGGGGAAGTGAGGGTTCTCGTCGCAAAACCAGGTCATCTGCCTTTTGAGCAAAGAAGAGCTCATTTGATGAGGTGGAACTAGACCTCCTCTACCTGAGATCCATTAGATAGCCTGGTTAACATCTGGAAAATGCCAATAATCATGCCTCTCGTTGTTGCCGTAGAGATAGTATCATTTTAGTCCCAGTCCGCCGAATGCACGGTCGAGTTCAACCCCCTCGCTTCTCGGTTCTATTGCCGGAGAAGTGTCTTTATTCGTCTGATCAGCAACCGGCCGGTCAAGCAGACTCTGATGTGCTTCGGTTGATGCCTGTCCCGACGCATGGGTGGGTTGTAGAAGCTTTTCCTCCCGGTCTAGCCATCCGGGAGCAACTCGACGCTTTTCAGCTAAATCTCGTTGCTTGATGGACTCCTCCCACTCCTTGATTGCGGCCTCTCCCTCTGACTGTCGCTTTTTCATGTGGTCCGCCAACGCCTGGCATGTTGCGAGGATATCGGCCGGGTGAGCGGCATGGCCACTCGACGAAACAACATACTTTGGTTTCTCTGAGCCGCTGGCGTCGGCCGTGACAGAGGGTGGTAGAGATGAAGGAATCGACTTGTATGTATATGGCAGAGTAGTCGCCGTAGGCAGAGAAATGAACGGCGAGACCGTCAGCGGAATCTGGGCCAGTATGGGATGGGGTTCTGGTCTACCGTTAGCAGCGTCCACAAGGCTTAAAACCGCAATACCACTCACTCTCTGAATCAAACATCATGCCTAGCCCTTTTATTTTCTGTCGTTCAGGATCCTGTTCTTGCTCCTGACTGCGATGACGTTGATGGTGGTGGTGCTGTCCCGGTTGCTTGTGAATGCGGGCGGGAGATGGAAGGTTGCAGCAAATAGGAGAGCCGCGAAAGCCGCATCCACCTTAGTTAGCGAGCGACTCTCCCAACGTCAAAACTTTCGAGAGACAACCAGCGACTGCTCCTGGATATCTACATCACGGCCTGCAGCTTTGCACATCAACGACCAGCTCGCTCGATCGGACGCCTCGCTGCCCCCTAGCCAAGCGACCCTGGTCTTCACTAGTGCCCAACTATCTGAACTCGAAAAGCCACCCACGCTCGCCGTCTATCTCTACTTTCGTCGTCAGCCCTACTAACTATCATCGAACACGCGACCCCAACCTGGCTGCGGACATTAGCTACGACTCTTCACGATCTCGACCGCCTATGCTCGAGCTCTAGTATCGCCGAGAAGCCCATCGAAGAGCTGCGCCCCCTCGCTAACCCCGTGTCACGGTTGAGATTGACAGGCATATCGTACCGTACCCCTCCCAGGCCACTGAGAACTCGGGCTGCGCCACCATTCAACCCGCCAAACAAGCAGCAAGCATGGAAGGGAAACTGGTGCAAGCGGTCACGGAGAAGAAGCCTGTCCCTGAGATTGACTTCACCCTCCATACTATGGAAGATGGCACGCAGGTATCCACACAGGAGCGTGTCTGCAAGGGTTAGTTGACAAGCCCCCCCTCTCTCCATTTCTATCTGCACACAGACATTTAGGGAGTATATTGCATTGCGCATTTGGCTGATGGCTCAATCACAGAGGTGCAAGCCCCGGCTTTCAACACACCTTCGAACGAACAATTTTGGTCCAGCGAAGATCCCACCAAGCCCGACCTGAAGTTCCTCAAGCAGCACTTCTTCCGTGAAGGTCGTCTCACGGAGGAGCAGGCACTATGGATCATCAATACTGGAGCGTCAATCCTCAGGTCAGAGCCAAACTTGCTCGAGATGGATGCTCCCATTACAGTGTGTGGTGATGTTCACGGACAATACTATGATTTGATGAAGCTGTTCGAGGTGGGAGGAGACCCTTCGGAGACACGATATCTCTTCCTTGGAGACTACGTTGACCGAGGCTATTTTAGTATTGAGGTTAGTGAAATGATGGATGTGACAGTTTGAGAGACTTTACTGATAATTCCCATAGTGTGTTCTGTACCTATGGACTCTAAAAATTTGGTACCCCAACAGTCTTTGGTTGCTACGTGGAAATCACGAATGTCGCCATCTCACAGATTACTTTACCTTCAAGCTGGAGTGCAAACACAAGTACTCCGAGAGAGTCTACGATGCCTGCACAGATTCATTCTGCGCCTTGCCTCTGGCTGCAATTATGAACAAACAGTTCCTCTGTATCCACGGTGGCTTGAGTCCTGAGCTGCATACATTGGAGGATTTGAAAACAGTAGGTGTTTCATGTATTAATCCCTTCTACGAATGCTCACAATTGCTATAGATTGACCGTTTCCGGGAGCCACCAACCTATGGGCTGATGTGCGATATTCTTTGGGCCGACCCTCTGGAAGACTTTGGTCAAGAGAAAACGGGTGAACACTTCATCCACAACAATGTCCGAGGATGTTCATATTTCTTCTCCTATCATGCTGCTTGCGCATTCCTAGAGAAGAACAACCTTCTATCCATCATTCGAGCCCACGAGGCTCAAGATGCCGGGTACAGAATGTACCGCAAGACCCGAACGACCGGATTCCCAAGTGTTATGACCATCTTTAGCGCTCCCAATTACCTTGATGTCTACAACAACAAGGCTGCGGTCCTCAAGTATGAAAACAACGTCATGAACATCCGCCAATTTAACTGCTCACCACATCCTTACTGGCTCCCCAACTTCATGGACGTCTTTACCTGGTCACTACCGTTCGTTGGAGAGAAAATTACGGATATGCTCATTGCCATTCTCAACACTTGCTCTAAGGAAGAACTCGAGGAAGAGACTCCCCTGTCAGCATCCGAAGCTCCACCCTCGCCAACTCTTCCATCAACCGACCCCGAAAGTACCGAGTTCAAACGACGTGCCATCAAAAACAAAATCCTTGCTATCGGTCGTCTATCCCGTGTATTCCAGGTTCTCCGAGAAGAGTCCGAGCGGGTTACTGAGCTTAAAACTGCTACTGGCGGACGTTTGCCAGCAGGAACGCTCATGCTTGGCGCCGAAGGTATCAAACAAGCTATCCACAACTTTGAGGACGCTCGAAAGGTCGATTTGCAGAACGAACGACTACCGCCGACCCATGAAGAAGTCACTAAGCGTGCCGAAGAGGATCGACGACAAGCGCTGGAACGTGCTGCCCAAGAGGCGGCTAACGACACGCATCTGACAAACGTAGCCCGAAGAATCAGCATGTAAGTTGCACCGCTTTGTTTCTCCCATTCAACACTTGTCCGCCCAAGCTAATATCTTTCGCCTAGGTCATCTGGATCTGGTCGACCCCGAAAGCGAGAACCGTCATCTTGATGCCCTATTTTTATCCCATCCACCCATCCCTTAACATTCGTCCCATCATTATGACTCCCAGCTTAACGTATCCCCTGCCCAGAACTCGACAAATCTCTGAATGCTTTTGCTCTTTTATTTTAACTGTTTTTTTTGAATTGATTGAATGACTCCCCGGTGATGATACCAAGACCTTAATTCCACTAGGAGAAATGCAAAAGCTGCATATCCTGTATGAATCTTGAATACGTTTTTCACGAACAAAAAGGAATTGATAAATTCCGTTTCCCCTTAACGACAACCGGCCTGGCCTCCTGGTGCCTGCCGTCAATCACTTTCCTGGCCCTTGACGTATTGTACTGGGGAGGAAATGGGAATAAAAAGGAAGAGAGAAAATATCAATAATAATATTTGCTTGCAACGAGGAATAAACGGCTGGCTTGATTTTGCAGTTTCTTTTGCTCTGATAGCTACAAGGCTTAGCAGTACTGGAATCAGGCGGCCCATTCTTTTCGCAAACAAGTTGTCAGTGATAGCAGTATAGTAAGGTTTAGGCTCCATCGTCTATGGATATAAAAACTATCGATCACCATTGTATTTGTATGATAGTTATTCCCCTTATAGCTACAATTTACACCCTTTTTAGTACTTTATACCCTAGGGTCCGGGATGGTATTTGCTATACAGCGTATTTACCCAATGTATCACAGAATGGCCGCCAAGGAGCTTGATTATGGTGCGTAAAATGGCTTAGTCATCTAATATATTACCGTCCCTGTATCGAACAGACACAAGCTTGTTTTTGCGGCATCGACAACTTTGCGAAGAAGATAGCGAGAGACATCACTGACAACCCGCAGCTCACCTGCGCACCAACCCCAATGCCCGGGAAATATCATGTCTCCCTCATCCAGAGGACGCCGCTCCTAGCCAGGCGGCTATTTTTTTGCCCGTCATGCTCGCAGATACGCCAGCTCTCCTCCAGTAGTGGGCCAGCTCCCACGGCCAGATCAACGATCAAGCGCTCCGCCTCGACTCTTTCGGGTTCATCGATTGTCAGTGCTACCAAAAATATTCCTGAGAGGTTCCAGGAGCTATATAAAGCTTTAGAGGAGCTTAAAAATACTCCTGGTAACCATGCGGATTTGGGCAGATTAGAATTGGCGCAAAGAGGCATTGAGACGGAGAACCCATTAATACGGATTGCAGGTGCGTGAGGATGTTCCATCGACTTTGCTCGTTTCTCTTCTTTACACTTATTAAACGTTACTTTCGCAGTGTTCGGTTTGGGTGGTACCCAGACTTCCGCAAGGCTTGTACGGCTACTACTTGCTGACCCGCTGGGTCCAAAAGAAGCATGGGAGGACCAGCTTGACTCTCGTGTTAACTATGACTCTGGCAGTTTCCTTATAAGGTCAGTACTTTGCTTGTCTGCTAGGCATGAGAGGGGGCTAATTCTTAGCAATGGCTTAATATAGATACGGAGATAAATATGAAGTATCTCCAGGAAACAGCCTTCTGCCGACGGTCTCGATACCATCCAACCTGCTTCGGAAAGCAAACCTAGAAATCCTAATGTCACCATTAGGTACA